CCCCCCCCCCCCCCCCCCGGCACTTTATGATCTTTATTGTATGGACATGCTTCTTGTCACTCAAACAAACAAACAAACAAACGAACAGATAATGTTTTTGAAGTATATGTGAGGTGTGCAGACAAAATGAGTTACTTCTCCGATTTTAGCCTTATGGAAATTGATACATCAACTTAATCGGTGGAGTTTGTACAATTTGCAAATATGGAATGATCAAAGACACGGTAGACTTGAACAAAAATGGCATCAATTAGATATCTATAAATCTGACCGCAGTGTCGATTTTGGGCCGATATCTCCTTTCTTGGTCAGCGAGAAGTAACTCATTTTGCCAGCACACCTCACATATATATATTTTTGTGTTTTTTCTACAGTGCTGATGCCTTGGAGAAGAATCAGGAGTTGGAGTTTGAGCGCAACAGAGAACGCTTCCTCTTCTGTAAGGTATGTGCGTGCCCGGAGATAGCGAATTAACAAACTGTCTCTTTACCCAAACAGATAAAAGCGGGTGGTTGGCGGGTGCTCTGGTGTGGTTTGCTCCTTTCGGTACTATAAAAAATCTATCGTCTCTATCTCCCCTCCTTCTTTTTTGTGTCTGTTACTCTCTTGTAACACCTCTAGTCTTCGGCACTTTTATGACCTTATTGTGTTGCAAGTGCCGCGAAACACTTACTAAAACTAATACTAAACCGCTACCGGACTCGTAATCGTGAGGTTGTGGGTTTGGGGTTTCGAGCCTCAGCTGGGTCCGACGTTTTGTCCTTGGGGAAAGGCACTTTACATAAAATTCCCATTTGGCTCGGTCCTTTCGGAGACGAACATTAAACTCGGAGGCCCCGCCCGCCTCTTAAATAACCTAATAGTGTTGATACAGGCGTTAAACCCATACCATGGCGCTCATATGACCTTATTCAGTTGCGAGCGCCGTAAAACCTCTACTAAAACTTTTTTTAAAACCCATACCATTTCACCATTTTCACCATTTTCACCATTTCACCAACAGTGGGGCGCCCAGGCTCTGCGCAACATGCTGATCGTCCCCCCTGGCTCGGGCATCGTGCATCAGGTGAACCTGGAGTACCTGGCCCGCGTGGTGTTCAGCGACAGCACCTGCCTCTACCCGGACAGCGTGGTCGGCACCGACTCGCACACCACCATGATCAACGGGCTGGGCGTCCTGGGATGGGGTGAGTTGCGCTGGGTTGATTGGTTGGTCTTCCTCGTCTTCTCATTCCCCCCTTCTTTTTTTTTTGTTGGTGTTTTTTTGTTTTGTTTTTTGTTTTGTTGTTGTTGGTCTTCTTCTCCTGGCTATCTTTCTTCTTTTTTTGTTGTCTTTTTCTACTTCTTCTCCTTACGCAAAAAACAAACATATTTGATAGTAATGTTTTATTGAACAGACAGACTTGACATGTAATGTTTTTTTCAGACAGACTAAGAAATAAACAAACTTGATTGTAATGTTGTTGTGTTGTTGTTTTTTTTTGGGGGGGGGGGGTGTTAAACAGTCTGTCTCTATCAAAACAAGCACACAAATAGGCAGACTTAACTGGAATGTTTATTTTTTTTAACAAACTGTGTCTCCTTACCCAAACAAAAACAAATAGACTGAACAAATGTTTGTTTTGAACAGTCTGTTTCTTTACTGAAACAGACAGACTTGAATGTAATGTTTTTTTGTTTTTTTTTAAAGAATAAACCGACTTGACAGGGATGAGTTTTTTTAAAACAATCAAATGAACAGATTTGACTGGTACCATATGGGTTTATACAAATTATAGACTCAACTTTAGTTTGTGGGTGGTTGGGGGGTGCTCTGGTGTGGTTTGCTTCTTCTTTCCTATCAAACATCTATCGTCCTTATCTTCCCTTCTTCTTTTTTTTTGTTGTTTGTTACTCTCTTGTAACGCCTCTAATCTTCTGGCGCTCATATGACCTTATGCAGTTGCAAGTGCCGTGAAAAAACCCCCAACAACCTTACTAACTAAAACTAAAAAACCTTACTAAAACTAAAATAAAAACCTTACTAAAAATTTTTTTTTACTTGCTAAAACTTTTTAAAAATTACTAACTAAAACTAAAAAAAAAACCCGAATAAACAGACTTGCCAGATGTTTGCGTTGACCCTACCCTCTGTGTCCAGGTGTTGGCGGTATCGAGGCTGAGGCTGTGATGTTGGGTCAGGCCATCTCCATGGTGCTGCCCCAGGTGGTGGGCTACAAACTGACGGGCACTCTGCACCCACTGGTCACCTCTACTGACGTGGTGCTGACTATTACCAAGGTAACTGGATGTCTGTGTGTGTGTGTGTGTGTGTGTATGTGTGAGAGAGAGAGAGAGAGAGAGAGAGAGCTACAAACTGACGGGCACTCTACACCCACTGGTCACCTCTACTGACGTGGTGCTGACTATTACCAAGGTAACTGGATGTCTGTGTGTGTGTGTGTGTGTGTGTATGTGTGAGAGAGAGAGAGAGAGAGAGAGAGAGCTACAAACTGACGGGCACTCTACACCCACTGGTCACCTCTACTGACGTGGTGCTGACTGTTACCAAGGTAACTGGATGTCTGTGTGTGTGTGTGTG